ATGGGATTAGGAGCCGGGTGCTGGTGGTGGCTTATGTCTGTCATCCTAACTACTCAGGAAGCTGATATCTGAGGGTTAAGGTTTGAAGCCAGCCCAGGTAGGAAAGTCCATGAGACTCTTATTTCCAATTAACCTCCAGAAAAGGCCAGAAGTGGAGGAGGTGTGGCTCAAGGAACACTAGCCATGAGCAAAAAAGCTCATGGACAGTGTCCAGGTCCTGAGTTCAAGTCCCAGGACTGTCCCCACACACATACAAGGGATTAGGAAAGACATTCAGACAGCCATTCCCTCCTGAAAGGCCTTCTGAAGCTGGGCCTGTCCCTGCCCTAAAGTGGAAAATCCTGAGAGAAATTTGGAATGCATGAGGATAATGACAGTGGATTCTACAAGAAGCCAGAGCCCAGAATTTGACATTGCCCATGAAGACAGGGCAGCTCTGGCCAAGCTGAGCCTTTCTCAAATGCTCTCTCTCTCTCTCTCTCTCTTTCTCTCTCCTGCCTACCCCTCTCACACTCAGACATGCCCCTCCCCCAGAGGCCCCGAAGAACCCTAGTACTAAGATCCATGCTCCCCTCCTCCTCCCACCTAGATCATGGGGTGACTGTCAAAACAAGACTCCAAACCTTGGTCCTGGATTCCTTTCAGCGGAGCCGAGGTTTGCATCATCCGATTCTTAAAAGCCTCTCGTTTCTTTCTCCCTTCTTGTCCCCAGTTGCCCAAGGTTTGCCCCATGCCAACCCCTGCCAATTGCAGCAAATTTGTACCCAATACTATTAACCCTGGCCAGAAATGGTTTTCCACGCGTGTCCCCTCAAGAGCAGTTTCCTGAATTTACAATTTAGGCTCACTCATACATCATAAAACCCTATGAGTGAGTTGCAAAGAAACAAAAACACAACATAAAATGACAGGGCAGATGACGCAGAGCATAACAGAATAAGATTGGAGGGTGGTGTGGGCTGAACGTTTGGGGTCCCTACAGGACTAACCTCGGGGTTATGGCATTAAGACATGGGCCTTTGGGGTTGATGAGGTCCTAGGTTGGGCTCTCATGTGGGGACAACAGCCCTACCAATGAAGTTCTGTAGGAGCCAGGTATGGTGACACATGCCTGTAATCTCAGAACTCCAAAGGCTGAGGCATAAAAGTTGAGAGTTGGGGGGGGGGGGGGCGCGAGGAGAGTCAGACAGACACACAGAGACACAGAGAGAGACAGAGATCAAAGCTAGCAGAGAGCAGGTTCACCTCCAGCCCAAAGTCACTAAGGGCAAGGTTAAGAACCAGAGTGGCCCTTATCAGACCCCAAACCTGCCAGCACCTTGATCTGGAGCTTTTATTCTCCAGAACTATGAGAAAATGGATGTTTGATGACTTCAAGCCATCTAGCCTAAGGTATCGTTGTTACAGTAGCTGAAATGGTGTAAGATAAGGATAGACTCACACAGGACAAGATAAGGTACATTGAGTATCTGAAATGTCAGAGCCCAGAGCGCAAGCTATTTTGGGGCATGGTTGTATAAACTGGGGATTCACAGTGCACAGTGTGTGTCTTAGAACGGGGTTTAATCGGAAAGGTCTGGAAGACAGTGACACACAGAGGGCCAGCTGACCCATGTTCCTTGGATCCTGTGCAAAGTTGTGGGAGGGAAGGCCTTCCTATAAAGCCTGCCGGGCATGGCAAGAGTGTGCCGCACCTTGGGCCTTCTTTGCACAGAGAAAGTTGTAAGAACAAGTTCAAGAATGTAGGTGTAGAGGCTGCTTGCTTGTGAAGATCTAGAAGAATAACCTGTCACAGCTATGCCTACTTCAGAAAACCCCAGATCTTTTCCCAAGATACTAGATAGGTATTTTTTTAAATCATCTGTTCATGAACAGATCTATATCATTGTTTGTTGAGACAGTCTTGCTATAGGCCCAGGCTGGCCTTGAACTCGGGACCATCCTGCAAACTTACTCAGGACAGTACTAGAGCTCCCTACATACAAGTCAAGAAAACAAACCCATCCCATCAACCCGCTGGTTAATCTTCTGCACTCAGAGCCACAGGTTCTTCAAGATGAGAGACATGTCCACACCTTGATTATGAGGAACCAACACTTACTCCAGGCTCCCTAGACGAACCTTTCCAACCCCCAAAAGGAAGGAGGTGAGGGGCCACAGAACCAGGAGCAAATTGCGACTGAAGATCTACTAAGTGCTGTGCTTCAGGCTTTCAGTGTCTTCACCAAACACCCTGAGCCTCTGCTCAGTGCACGTGGTACTCCTTCCTCTCTGTCCTCTCCAGGTCTGGATAAAATGGGTAAAACAGGAGCCTGGCTCTGTATAAATTGCCACTGATGGTGCATTCCCAACTACAAAACAAAGAGGGAAACTCTAGACCAATGATCCTCAACACTGCCCTGGGCAACCTGCAGCTCCCCAACACACTCTTCTTTTTTATTGGGGGTGGGGCAAATTAAACCTTGTGCTTGCTAGGCATGCTACCCCACTTGAGCCACGCCTTTAGTTCTTTAGCATTTAGTTGTTTTCTTTTTATGTTTTGTTTGTTTGTTTTAGGTAGGGTCTCATCCTTTTGGACTGACCTCAAAATTTGAATGTACTGCCAAAGCCTCCCAAGTAGCTGGGACTACAGGCACGCCATGCCACTCCCAGCCCTCCAACATCCTTTTGAACGGTCCATAGAGTTAACTTTTCACGTTTACACTAGAGCAAGACTTGTCCCCCCCACCCCCATTCTTTCACACAGGTGCAGCAAAGTGTCCTGGCATCCTCCTCGTGTGGGATCATTTGCACCAGACTGAATGCAAAGGCAGACGGGAGAATCCAGCTGGGTTCTGGGGAATCAGACATCCCAGGGGGGTGCCCAGATGGCTGCTGGCTGTCTCCCTGGCTCCATGGGGCATGACCACACTGCTGCTGGAAGGCCTGGGATGCACATTCTGCCTCCCTCACCCCCACCCCCATGCTGCACAGCCCAGAATGTTCCTGGCCCCCCCCCCAACCCCTCCTACTGGAGGGATTGGCCTCAGGAATTTTTCTTTCCCTGTGCTATTTGTGGTGCACTGGAAGAAGGTCCAGGACTTGGGGGCGGGGAGGCACTGGGAAACTCATTTGGGGGGAGGGAAGGCTGAGGAAGAGAAAGGATCTAGAGGGCACACTCCAGTGTCATCATCAGCCCACAGTTGGAAATTCCACCATGAGGGATTCATTCCTTGGGTTGACTCTTCTGGAAAGTCACATTCTTGGCCAGGATTTTCATCCCACATGCACAGTTAATGGAACTAATTACAGCATTTAGGTTCCCAGGGGTCAGGAACCTGCACACACACACTCACTGATAAGTGTTCCTTCCTGGAGCAGGTGCAAGTGCCTGGATGATGGGTAGACTGGGATCCAAGCATAGGGAGCACTGGGAAGCAGAGGGGGTGCTCCCAAATCAGACAAAGGCCAGAGGCTCCTCAATGCTGAGCTGGGTTTTGAAGGATGTATAGGAGTTGGGTAGATGAAGGGATGAATGGTACCTTGAGGTAGGGGCATGCAGGTGACTGTTGTGGGGATGTGCACATCAGCTGCCCAGGTGAGAGGCAGGAGACAACGGTCAGGTGCTGGAACACAGTCAGGGTCACTAAAATGTGACACCAGTGCCCCAGGCATCTGGGACTATTCTGGGAAACCGACTAGCCATACTAGCATGCTGACGCTTTTGTCCTTGCATGGTGCCTCACCCTGCCACACAACATCCCAGACTCCCACTGTCCACTTCCCCATCTGCTGGTCCAGGAGAGAAAAGATCTTGGTGTCCCTGCACTGAACGGGTGGGCACTCCCCTACTGCCCACCTCCGGCTCCTCCCTGGCCCTCTGATTTCCAGCCCAGCTGGGGGAAACTTCTGGGGCGAGCCCACTGTGTATGGCTACAGCATGCAGGTGAATGAGAGCACACGCATGTGTGCATGCACGGGCGCGCGCACACACACACACACACACACACACACACACACACACACACACACACACACACACACACAGAGGCAGGTGGAAAAAAATCCAGCCCCAAACTGTTTCAGCTCACAAGTCATCTGTCTGAGGAATGTGTTGAACTTTTAATAGAATACTGGCTTGGACATGCGGGATTCCGGGAGCTGAGCCCCAGAATGCCCTGGAATGTGCTAGAAGGAAGTATAAGGCACCCTGTCTTGGCCCACCCTCACTCACCCCCATGTGGCTGGGAAGCATGGAATAAAGGCCTTCCAACACAGGTCAGATTTTTTACCCAGTAATTCCAAGATGTCAGGTCAGACCCCCGAGCTCAGCCAGCCATTCCCAGTCCAGTAAATGTCCAGGAGGCACTGGGCAGAAGGCTGGCCTGGCCACAGAAGCTGGTGAGGACAGGCACCTGGCAGCCACACAGCTGAGCAATGGGGACTTCAGAGGTTGAAAGACCTGGATGCTCTGCCCAGGCAGAAGTCTAGTTGAGGTGGAGGCCTCACGCCTGGGCCCACCTGAGTGGCCTCTCAGAGCCACTGCTTGGCACCAAGTGACAGTCCAAATGCTGGCACATGAGCCCCGGAGAGCAAGTCCGAGGGTCTACGTGGTGCTCTGGTGAACATGTAGCTCTGTCATGTCTCTGGATTTTGGGGGATGAGAAGAAATGGATGAGCAGTGGCATCCTCATTCCAGCTGCCTGAGTGTATCCTTCCGTTTCTCTCATCTGCCCCCAACGTGCTCACTCCAGGAGCCTTCCCAAGAGGGAAGAGGAGTGGGGGAGGGCACTAGTGTCTAGAGTACGCATGCTCCCCAACATGGCAACTTTTAACTGCTCTGGCCTTGATTCTGTTTCACACACCAAGCTTAAACAGGCTAGAGGTTCCATCATGAGCATGCAATTGATTGGTAGTGGCTGCCCATGGTGCTATGTTGAAAGAATTCTGACACCACATACCTGCTGTAATTGATTGGTGATGTCTGCCAAGGTCATGGACATCCCTAGTCCCCCCAATCAGGACTTTTGGCCGTAGAGACAGAAGCTCTAGGATCCAGCTGTACACAGTGTACCAGATCCCTTGCCAGATTTCTCAGGACCCCTTGGCCCATCATTCTCAATGTGCCCTTTTCTGGAGATGTTAAGATTGGTTGGATTATGAAACACTTGTCTAAAGTAGAAACACTACAAGGTTAACGTCTCCCCAACAGAAATGACTAAATGCTGGCTTTCCCCATGGGGACTCCTGGGGTGATCTGGCTGTCACCAGAAGGGACCTCAGACCCCTCAAGAACTCTACCCAGGGAAGGGAGGACAGGTGTCAACACTATACTCTAGGCTAGCATTCGAAGCTAACCGCCATGATGCGCTGCTCCATGGAGTGTGGGCTGCTTCATTTGGACACCTTGGTCTGCAGGGTGCTGGGCAGGTAGAGGTACCTCCAGATGGCATAGTAGTGGGTGCCAGCACCGAATGCCACAAAGAGATGCCAGATGGCGTGGGCAAAGGGGATCCTTCCGTCGCTCTTGAAGAACACCATGCCCAAGCAGTAGAAGACCCCTCCGGTTACCAGCTCCCAGAGGCCCTCCGTGTTGGGCTGTCAACAAGGACAGGATGGAGGCAGGTCAGGACAGCCGCTCACCCCACCCCACCCAAAACTAAAAGACCCAGGCCTGGTGGGGACGCTAAATTGACATCATCAAATCTCTGGAAATCAGTTCTGTTGAACCATATTTCTATCCGAATCTCAAAGCATACTTTGATGGCTTTTGATATTTCCTAGAAAGTAATTGGGTATACATACATATATATATGTGCACATAAATAAATGCATATGTTAGAAATGAATATACATATACAATTATATGTGTGTGCATCCATGCAATATTCAGCAACTGCGACAGTTAATTTGCACACCCACCTTCATAGCAGTATTAGTCATAATAGCCAAAAGGTAGAAGGAAGCTAACTACTCATCAGCAGGGGTGAATGAATAAATGAAAGGCAGTAGGTCCGTCCAGTGGAATATTAGCCTTTAAAAAGGCCATTCTGACAGGTTACAATGTAGATGACCCTTGAGGACATGGTGCCAAGTAGAGCAAGGCAGGCACAAGCAGGTGATCGCCTCACAATTCTGCCTGTGTGAGGAACCCAGAGGAGCCTAGTTCACTGAGACAGAAAGTGGAAAGGGAGCTACCAGAGGCCAAAGGGAGGGGAAAAGAGAAATTGCTGCTGAATGGGTCTGGTTAAGATGGGAAATGTTCCATGGGGATCAGCGGTGAGGGCTGCCTGGCAAGGTGAATGCATTGATGTCACTGGAATACACAGTGAAAATGGTTAAAATGGACCAACAACAAGCAGCTCACGCCTGTAATCCTAACCACTCAGGAGGATGAGATCTGAGGATCCAGGTATGAGGCCTTCTGAAAATAACCATCTCCAAAACAGGTAGCAAAAAGAAGGCCTAGAAGCATGGCTCAAGTGGTAGAGCACCAGCCAAGCAAGCACAAGGCCATGATTTCAAATCTTAATACTTCAAAAAAAAAAAAAAGATGAGCTGGGCACTGGTGGCTCACGCCTGTAATCCTAGGTACTCAGGAGGCTGAGATCTGAGGATTGCAGTTCAAAGCCAGCCGGGGCAGGAAAGACTGTGAGACTCCTATCTCCAATAAACCACCAGAAAACCGGAAGTGGCGCTGTAGCTCAAGTGGTAGAGCGCTCGCCTTGAGCTGAAGAGCTGAGGGACAGCACCCAAGCCCAGAGTTCAAGCCCCATGACCGACCAAAAAAAAAAAGAGAAAGGTTAAAATTGCCAGATGAAACTGTAACCCCCCTCTGCCCATCACCTTTATAATAACAAAAAAATTAATAAAATATTTCATTTGCTAAAGTCTTTATAAGAAATGTTTTTTTTTAATTGCCAAGTGATGGTGGCTCATGACTGTAGTCCTATGCAGAAGGCTGAGATCTGAGGATCATAGTTTGAAACCAACCCATGCAGAAAAATCCATGAGACTCTTATCTCTAATTAAACCACCAAAAAGCTAGAGGTGGAAGTGTGGCTCAAGCGGCAGAACACCAGCCTTGAATAAACTAAACTCAGGGACAGTGCCCAAACCCTGAGTTCAAGCCCCAGAACCATCCACAAAACAGAAATAAAAATAGTTAAAATGGCACATGTTGTATATTTTGCCCCAATTATTTTCAAATAGCTCATCATTATGGCAAAATAAAATTAGAAAAAAAATAGAATAAGAAAAGGAGTTCTAACCATACCCAGAAGCAAACTCCCTTATACTGTGAGTTGGTTTAGGAAAAAGAACTCGAGTAGAATAGGAAAGAGAGCAGGAGGAAGAACCAGCCAAGTACCTGTCCCAATGCCCTAACTTGACTTCCTACATTAACATGTCTTAGACTATCCTTCTAGAACTTTCCATACATTTCCAGTGTATGTGTACGGACACAGGAACTAGTCACCTTAAAGAAGATGTGCTCTGACCATTCCTATCACTTCACCCTTCATTCACATCAGTCTCTTAGCACCCCTCTGGTATGTGTGCAGATTACTTGGTGTTTCCAGCAGCCCCATGGTATCTCATTGCTTATGTGCACAATCACGAATTCCCCGGTCCTCAAGAGTTGGTATAGTTACTGTCACCCTAGCTACATGGGAGGCTGAGATCAGGAGGATCTCAGTTCCAAGTCAATCCAGACAAAAATGTCTGTGAGACCATTACAACAGAAGCAGCTGAGTGTGTGGGTGTGGGGATGCAGACCTGCCATCCTAAATATAACAGGAAGACCAGAATAGGCAGCTTGAAGTATAGGCACACACTTGGGTAGGAAGAGACTTTATCTAAAAAATAACCAGCCTGAGCCGGTGGCTCAGGCCTATAATCCTAGCTACTCAGGAGGCTGAGATCTGAGGATTGTGGTTCAAAGCCAGCCTGGGCAGGAAAGTCCTCCAATAAACCACCAGAAAACCAGAAGTGGCGCTGTGGCTCAAGTGGTAGAGTACAAGCCTGAGCTGAGGAGTTCAGGGAAAGCATCCAGGCCCAGAGTTAAAGACCCTTGACTGACAAAAAAAATAAAAATAAAAAAATAACCAGCACATATGGCTGGGAAGGTGGCTCAGAGGTAGAGTGCTTGCCTTGCATGCATGAGGCTCTGGGTCAATTCCTCAGCACCACATAAGCAGAAAAAGCTGGAAGCGGCGCTGTGGCTCAAGTGGTAGAGCACCAGCCTTGAGCTGAAGAGATGAGGGACAGTGCCCAGACCCAGAATTCAGTCTCCATGACTGACAAAAATAACAAAATAAAAACAGCACAAAAGAAAAGATGGCATGAGCTACATATAGTTCAGCAGTGGACCACCTGCATACCAAGCACGAGGTCCTGAGCTCAGTCCCTCAGGACCACAAGGGAGAGTTTAATTGACTATTTTTTTATGTGCTGGTACTTAGGTATACACTCAGGACCTTGTGCTCTCGCTTGGTTTTCTTGCACATGGCTGGTGCTCTACTACTTGAGCCATGCCTCCAGTCCAGCTTTTTGCTACTTAACTGGAGATGGAATTTTGTAGACTCTCTGCTCAGGCTGACTTCAAACGATAATTGTCCAGTCTCAGCCTCTTGAGTAGCTAGGATTACAGGCAGGAGCACCTACAACCTAGCATAACTGAGTGTCTATCACCTAATCATAGTAATATGCAGTGTTTCTAACACTCTGACAGGTACCAGGTCAAGGTCCTTGCTGGAGTGCTTTCATGCTGCAGTCACAATACATGGACACCCAACTTCAGGCAGAAAGTATGGTGGAGAGCCTGGGGGGAACCTGAGGATAGACCCTCACGTCCTCCTGTCCTTCCAGACAAACCACTTGATCCCCTGGGCTCCAGGTGCCAAAGGAGACCTGGGGATGGTCGACAAGTGGACAGGTCAGATGCACCCCCTCCATTCCAGGGAGACCTCACGCTGGACAGCGAGACTTACCATGGAGAGAATGACCAGGGCAGGGAAAAATCCCATGACCACGTAGCAGAGCAGCTCCACAAGTTTGTACCTGGCAGGAAGACAAGCCACACTGGCCCTGAGACAAGCAGCCCCCACCCCCCACCCCTGAAAATCACACAGCTCCCTGATTCTGGGAAGGAGGAGCCCTCTTTGTGCCATACTCCTTGGCCTAGTGTCCTAACAGGTAGTGGAAGTCGTATCACTTTGGGCAAGTTTCTCTCCCTCCTTGAGACTCTGGTGCTAGAACAGGCATTGCAAATACTGAATACAGCATACAGGTGGGTACTTCCAATGCAGAAATAGCTAGTAAATCCCAGCATCTTTTCCTACAGAACTGAAGCAGCCACCCTCAATGGAGCCAAAAGCAATGCACTGTCCGGGACTGAGTTGCCTCCAGAAGCCCCATGGGCTCTGAGATTCCGAGAGTCCCTCTTTTGCTTCTCTAACCTATCATTTGATTCTGCCCATCTCTGTCATGTAGCAGAACAAAGACTGGGGGATTGCACCTTCCTATCCCCTCTCCTTCATCTGCCAACATCGGTGATGGGTGAAGGAGATCAATGGACCCAGTGATCTGTGATGTCTTCAGTGGACTCGTGAGGACTGATGCTCAGCCATGGCCTCAACAGAACTGTACCCTCATACTTCTGGGATCATCCTGGGGAGAGGCCCCACCCACCCACTGTGACCCCCTACTCAGGCCCTGGCTTACCGCTCATGGAAGAAGAACACATAGACAGTACCAACAGAGGCCATAATCCAGACGAGCCAGCGCATGTGGGAGGCCCAGGGGCCCAGCTCTCGAAGGTTCAGCCTGGGAGAAAAAGAGCCATGGCTCAACCTGAGGGCCCCCCTTGGACCTGGCCCTGCAAGGAAGCCGATTCCATGCCCAGAGACGCCCTGTTCCCAGAAGTGTTGCACAGGAGGCCATAGGCTCTTGCAGGAAGAGTCTGGACAGGCAGAAAGGTCGCTGGACAAGCCAAAATAACCATCAATGGTGGGCCCAGAGTCCATTCTTCAAAATGCTCAGGATCAGGAATATTTCAGATTTTGGATTTTTCCCCCCAAGTTTTGGAACATTTATACATGCATAAGAAAATACCTTAGGGCTGGGACACAAGTCTGTACATGGAATTCACTTAGATCCCACATATACCTTATACACAGAGACTGGACATATATTTTTTTTAATTTTATTTATTTTTTGGTCGGTCATGGGGCTTGAACTCTGGGCTTGGGCACTGTCCCTGCGCTCTTCAGCTCAAGGTGAGTGCTCTACCTCTTGAGCCAAAGCACCACTTCTGGTTTTCTAGGGGTTTATTGGAGAAAAGAGTCTCACGGACTTTCCTGCCTGGACTGGCTTTGAACTTGTGATCCTCAGATCTCAGACTCCTGAGTAGCTAGGATTACAGGCGTGAGCCACCGGTACTAGTTTGGAGATATTTTTTTGAGACAGCACTATAGGCTGGGCTGGAACCTAAAAGTCCTCTTACCTTAGCCTCCTGAGTGCTGATTATAGGCATGTACTACCATGCCTGGCTCTTATACATTATTTTCAGTGCAGCTATGTTCTGACCCATGCAACTTCTCACTTGAGGCTGAGTGTGGTGTTTTCCCATTTGTGGGAAATGTCATATCAGTTCCAGAAAAATTTAGAATATTGGAGCACTGTAGATTTCAAGTATCCTGACTTGGATAATCAATCTGTAACCAGAGGAAATTGGCGAAGAAAGGAAAGAGCGTCTCAAACATGTAGACGTAAAAATGAGAAAAGTGATCGTGGGTGCTGCTGGCTCAAGCCTGTCATCCCAGCTATGTGTAAGACTGAGCTCAGGAGGAGGGTGTCTCAGGCCAGCATCAATTCAGTGGCTCATACCTGTCATCCTGAGATCACAAGGAGCGTGGTCCCAAGCCAGTCTGGGAAGAAAAAGTCCACAAGACACCAACTCAGTGGGAGACACCAACTCAGTGGAAGAAGTTGTATGTGGCTGGGCACCAGTGGCTTATGCCTGTAATCCTAGCTACTCAGGAGGCTGAGATCTGAAGATCAAGTTCAAATCCAGCCTGGGCAAGAAAGTCCATGAGACACTTATCTCCAATAAGCCACCAGAAAACTGGAAGTGGCGCTGTGGCTCAAGTGGTAGAGCACTAGCCTTGAGCTGAAGAGCTGAGGGACAGTGTCCAAGCCCAGAGTTCAAGCCCCATGACCGACCAAAAAAAAAAAAAAAAGAAAGAAGTTGCGTGTGGTAGCACATGCCTCTAATCCTAGCTACAGAAGTAAAAAATAGGAGGATCACAGTCCAGGCAGGTACCCAGGCAGGAAAATGAGAGGCCCAGACTCAAAACTAACCAGCCATAAAAATATGGTCTGGCAGTATGGCGCAAGGGAAGGAGAAAGGAAGAGAATCAAGTTACACATGTCATTCTTTTCATGGTGATAGACTCTAGGGCCTCATACATGGTAGGCACTCTCCCACTGAGCTATATCCTCAGTCCTTGTATGTCACTTTTTGCACTTGCTTTGTTTGCTCCCAGCTAGTACTCTATCACTTGAACCATGCCTCTAGCCCAGCTTTTTCCTGGTTTATTATGGAGATGGGAGTCCTGAGGACTGTTCTGCCTAAGCTATAGCTTTGAACCTCAATCCACTAAATCTCAGCATCCTGAGTAGCTAAAATTACAGGTATGAGCTGCTGGCACCTGCTCATGGTTTCCTTTTACTTTGTTTTTCCTTTCTTTTTGTTTTGTTTTGTAGGGGTTTCTTTGTACATTGTAAATGTTGCAGTTCATTTTTAACTTGACTTTAAACTGAAGAAAATAAAAAAAAAAATCTTTTTCTGAACTTTAAACAAGTATTTTGTTGTCATTTTTTGTTGGCCATGGGGCTTAAACTCTGGGCTTAGGCACTGTCCCTCAGCTCTTCAGCTCAAGACAAGCGCTGTACCAATTGAGCCACAGTGGCACTTTTGGTTTTCTGGTGGTTAATTGGAGATAACAGTTTCACAGACTTTCCTGCCAGGGCTGGCTTTGAGCCTAATGCTCAGATCTCAGCCTCCTGCGTAGCTAGGATTACAGACATGAGCCACGAGTGCCCAGCTAAACAAGTGTTTATCCACCACAAAATTGGCTTTGACTAGTCAAAATTAAGAGGGCAAATCCTGAAAAGATGCAGGAGGAAATCCTGTTTTTAAGTTATATGTTCCCACTGTTGTAATACTGACACTGATAGAAATGAAAATATTAGTATTCTCCACTGCTCTCCTTATTTTCCTTACAGGTCTGTAATAACATGTCCTGAGGGCAGCAGGGGTAGCTTAGTGGTGGAATACTTGCCTAACATGTGTGAGGCCCTGCACTACACAGAATACTTACTTACATTCTTACATCCTTACATGCTTTCTTACATACTTACATTCTTTTCTACCATAATAATTCATGCAACTATTAAATATTGGTCTTTTTTGTGGTACTGAGGTTTGAACTCAAACCTTATGCTTGCTAGGAAGGTGGTCTACTGCTAAGCAGGATCTCCAACCCTTTTGTTTCAATTGCTTTTCAAATAGGGCCTCATACTTTTGCTAGTAGCTGGCCTTAAACTGAGATCTTCCTACCTCTGCATCCTGAGTAGATGGTATTACAGATGTGAGTCACTGTGTTCATCCAAGTTTGTGTGTGTGTGTGTGTGTGTGTGTGTGTGTGTGTGTGTTGCTAGGGACCAAACTCAGGGCTTCATATATGCTAAGCAAGTGTTCTACCACTGAGCTACCTCTTTAGCCAGGTTTTTTTTTCCTTTTCCTTTTCTTTTTGTAGGTTGTAGGGCTTGAACTCAGGGCTTGGGCCCTATCCTGAGCTCTTTTTTGCTCATTGTTAGTACTCTACCACTTCAGCCACAGCTTCACTTCCAGGTGTCTGGTCGTTAACTGGACTTCAGAGTCTCACAGACTTTCCTGTCAGGCTGGCTTTGAAGCACGATTCTCAGATCTCAGCCACCTGAGTACCTAGGATTGTAGAGCACATGGGCAGCAAAGATGGCACTAAGAGGGAGTTGAGTGGGCAGAGCCTGACTTGCTTTAGGGTAACCAGCCCGTGGAAGCTTAGGTGCATGATAGGGTGAGACCTTTACAGTGATTAGTTCCTTTTCCTCCCCTCCCATGCCACCCGCTCTGTTTTGCTTTAAAAAGGGCTTGCTCTGTGTTAATAAACGAGTTTTCCTGCTTGACTTGACTCCATTCTGCATCTGATTGTCTCCTGGACTAAGAGAGGCTGGTGAACAGGCAAGCGGCCGCACTTACCTTTCCTCGGACCCCATCCTTCTTTCGTGGGACGGACAATAGGATTACAGGTGTGAGCATTGACACCTGTTTCTTTTCCTTTTTTAATGGAGTCAATATGTCCTGCAATTCCTGGTCTGGTTTAGGAGGAGCCATTCTCTTAAGTAACTAGATTTTGTTGCCAAAGTACGTGGATTTTCTTTTTTCAAAAAACTTCTGAGTATTGACTTCTGACTCCTTTCATGTATGAGAATGGTTGTCTATTGTCTATGTCTGAATGACAACTCTGGTGGTTCAGGAAAAACTAGAAAACCACACACATATCTTCATTGTGTTTCCAAATTAATGGTGCTGTGATTACATTGAGGCACCAGCCTGATTTCTTCTCCTTTATAAATGACTATTATTATTTTTGGTCAGGCTCAAAAGCCTGAAGAATTCAGCCCTTCCATTTCTATTCACTTCTCTCTGATTGCTTTAATTAATCAGGGGCTTTCAAAAACTATGTTTGCACTCTCTGATAATCTCTCGCCTTTCCTCTGTTGTCTGAATTTACTTTGCAGTGGCTTTCTACTTCTCTGCTGAACTGAATTTATTAATGTAGTCTATCACAATGTGGCTTTTAGTCTTTACTTTGTTTCTTGAGATTTGTAGTCATCACTTTCATTTCCGTCAGCTATTTTCTTATCTCCTATTTGTGCTCTTGTTTAATTACATTCATTTCCTTACTAATGGGCCTGAAGTCAGGAGAGCTCCACAGAGCCAGCAGTTGGAAGAAAAGCTGGAACAAAATTGGGAGACAGCAGGCACAAGCAGGACCTGCATCTGTCATTCATGACCTCTACCCTTCATGACACAGGAGCCTCAGAACAAGGGGACCAACAATACAGCTCCAGTCTGAAGGGCAGGGGCCTGAAAGTTCCCTGGACAGTGGCTGCAGAGCCCCCGCTGGAGAGGGCAGCACAACACTGGGGAATAACTGAGCTTCACTTGGGGCCCGGCCTATGGGACGATGCTGCATCCCTTCCAGGTGGGTCTTCCCTCTCAGGTGCTGTCCCACATGTCAATCATCGCTGAAATACCCTCCCCGATACATCAGCCCACATTCAGCTCCCCGGCTCTCAGTTCAAGCCCCGGTGCTAGCACCAAAAAAAAAGTTGGTGGATAGTAGAACTGTACCTATACTTTTGTTGTTGTTGTTGTTTTTATTATTATTGGCAGTTTCCTTTCTTTCTTTTCTTTCTTTCTTTCTTTCTTTCGGCTTTGTGCTTTTCTTTGTGATAAAGTCTCCCTGTGTTGCCAAGGCTGGCCTCAAACCCTTGATCCTCCTACCTCAGCCTCCCAAGTGCTGAGATTACAGGTGTACACCACCACTTCCTGCCAAATGCTTACCTTATACATGTGAAATATGTGTACAGGACCAAGGGTATGGCTAGACCAAGGGTAGAGTGCTTGCCTAGTATACAGGTTTCATTTCCTAATACCATTTGACCCAGCCAAATTACAAGCATAAATGCAAAGAGAAGAGCAGAGAAGCCAGGCCCCATGGTGGGGCTGGGCACTCACCAGGGCGCATAGGAGGCAGCAATGAAGAAGTAGATGACCATGCGGTCCGTCATGTGCAGGCAGTGCTCCACCATCCTGGAGTGACAGCAAAGGTGTCAGCATGGTCCCAGGGCCACACCCAGGCCTCCCAGGCCTTCCTACTGGGAGGGGTGTTCTCTCTACCCAGCTGCAGTCTGACCGGCTGTTGGCTATGGGACGGAGCAACTAGGCCCCCTAGTGTTCGGGACCGAGCAACTAGGCCCCCTAGTGTTCTAAGTGTGCAGATGCTTCAGGGGTCCCCAATGAGTGAATACTGACATGCCCTCCACTTTAATCAGAGCAGCTCTACAATTTAGTTTTTTCTTTTTCTTTTTTGTCAGTTGTGGGTGTTGAACTCAGCGCCTGAGCACTGTCCCTGAGCCTGTTTGTGCTCAAGGCTAGCGCTCTACCACTTGAGCCACAGCATCACTTCCAGTTTTTGAGTGGTCAACTGGAGATCAGAGTCTCATGAGGACTTTTATGCTGGGGTTGGCTTTGAACCATGATCCTCAGATCTTAGCCTCTTGAGCAGCTAGGATTACAGTCATGTGCCACCAGGTTTTAAACTGTGGTTTTAAAAAGATTCTGCAGCTTGCAAATATGCACAGAGCCAGGCAGGGTGGCACACACCTGTAATCTCAGCATTTGGAAGGCTGAGGTAAGAGTGGTAGGCCAGCCTATGCTACACAGAAATAAATCTGTTTCAAAAAAAGCAAACAAACAAAGCTTGGGGGTGGGGGTCCCAGCAATAGAGTGCTTGCCTAAACGGTGAGTTCAAACCCCAGTACTGCCAAAACAAACAAACAAAAGGCATACAGAACCTGAAAAACTTCTCCCCTTAAACTGACTGCAGTCTGACATCCTGCTCATAAGAGCTCAAAGCCCAGCTTAGGGACACAAAACAGGCCAGAGTTACTGACCATATATATATTTATATATATTTATATAGTGCCCTGCTGCAGTCCTCACTAACAATAAATGGGTGCATTCATGGACCCAACAGGCTCTTGTGTGGTTGTCATGACATGAAATAGGTTCTAGCATCTGCTTTGTTGTCTGAGCCACAAACATGGAGAAAGTGGGTGTGGCTGTAAGGAGGCCCAGCTGGGGAACCGAACCCTGCACCACCTGGCCAGTCATGGGAGGGAGGGGTCTCCCTGGAAGTAGACCTCAGCCCCACAGGGAGCCAGGAGTCTGCAGCACCAGCCCCTATCCACAAGAGGGACCCCAAACCCCAGCTTGTGGCTGCCGACCCTCTGAGGCTCCTAAAGAGAGTAAATAGTTCTCATTATTATTATTATTATTTTGGTCCGGTCATGGGGTCTGAAATCTGGGCCTGGGCGCTGTCCCTCAGCACTTCAGCTCAAGGCTAGCACTCTACCACTTGAGCTACAGCACCACTTCCGGCTTTTTTCTTTTTTGCTTATGTGATACTGAGAAATCGAACCCATGACCTCATGCATGCAAGGCAAGCGCTCTACCACTGAGCCACCTTCCCAGCCCAGTTCTCATTATTTTCATCTATCAGATTGTGGGGCACTTTGTTACACAGAAATCAACAGGTAACTAACATAAACTGAAGTTCTGTCCAGCAAGCTGTCTGCTGGGCTCTGAGTGTGACTACAGTTCTAATGTGTATCTTCTTAGATATAAAAGCAGACACAATGGCTTGCATGCATGGAGTTACTACTATAATCAAAGCACTATGTTTTGTTTTGTTTTGTTTGTTTGTCAGTTGTGGGGCTTGAACTTTGGGCCTGGGTGCTGTCCCTCAGCTCTTCAGCTCAAGTGAGCACTCTACCTCTTGAGCCACAGCACCACTTCCGGTTTTCTGGTGGTTAATTGGAGATAAGAGTCTCACAGACTTTCCTGCCTGGACTGGCTTTGAACTGTGATCCTCAGATTTCAGCCTCCTGAGTAGCTAGGATTACAGGCATGAGCCACAGGTGCCTGGCCCTTTCTCATCCTCCTCCTTTTTGGGGGTTACTGTTGTTAATTCTGTTTTGTATTTTTTTTTTTTTTTGGCTTATGTGGTGCAGAGGAATTGAACCCAGGGCCTCATGCATGCAAGGCAAGCGCTCTACCTCTGAGCCACCTTCCCAGCCCTATTTTGAATTTTTTTTGAGACAGAGTCTTGTTATATATCCAGGGTGGTACATGACTCTCCCACCTCAGCCTCCTGACTGCTTAGATTATAGACATGTACCACCAGGTGTGCATAGTAAGTTGAAGAGGGAGTCTAATTAAAGTTTTGTGCAGGCTGGCCTCAAAATTGTAATCCTCCTGCCTTAGCCTCCTAAGGACTTGGATTACAAGGAAGCCACCATATCTGGTCCTGCATTAACTCCTCAACCTATCTACAAGGAAGTTATCATTATTTCCACCCACCTCACAGTATGACCACAGTACATTCAATCCCTGGGTGGGCATAAAATTGGCGTTTTTGTAAGAGAAAAAAGTGGGAGAGTTGGTCACAAAGCCACACAGGAAGTAGCCCATGGGAAAACATTCGAGTGACACGACCACAAGCCAAGAATACTAGGAGCATCTGGAAGCTGGAAGGGTAGGAAGGATGCTCTGCTGGAGCATCAATGGGGAAACCCGGAATCCAGGATGAGCTCTGGCTCAGACTTGAGCAGCTCTGGGACCCTGCAGGCCATTCCTCTCTGAGTCTTAGGGGATTTCAAACAAGCTGGTCACAGAAGTATGAGTGCTATAGGATTCCACACAAAGAACATTCCCAGTGCTGTAAAATTCCTAGACACAAGTCAGGCATAGTGGTGCACACCTGTAATCTCATTACCTGGGAAGCAGGGATCAAGAGAATCATGGTTTCAGGCAAGCCCAGGCAAAAAGTGAGCAGGACCTCATCTCAACCAATAAAAGCTGGCTGTAGTGGTACCTCTGTCATCCCAGCTATGCTTAAATAAGAGGATGGAGACCCTATTCAAAGAAGAACCAAAACCAGGTGCTAGCGGCTCACACCTGTAATCCTAGCTACTCAGGAGGCTGAGATCTGAGGGTCTCAGTTTGAAGCCAACCAGGGCAGAAAAGTCCACAAGACTCTTTATCTCCAATTAACCAGCAAAAAAAAAAAAAAAGAAAAGAAAAAAAGCTGGAAGTGGAGCTGTGGCTCAAGTGGTAGAGTGTTAGCTTTTTAAAAAAAAAAAAAAAGCAGGAGGAAAGGCTCTGAGTTCAAGCCCCAGGGCTGAAAAAAAAAAAAAAAAACTAAAGCACAAAGGGCTAGAGGTGTGGCTCAAGAGGTAGATCACATGCCTAGTGAGAGCTAGGCCCTGAGGTCAATGCCAAAAAAAAAAAAAAAATTCTGCTGGGTGCTGGTGGCTCACGCCTACAATCCTAGCTACTCAGGAGGCTGAGATTTGAGATGTGAGGATCTTGGTTCAAAGCCAGCCTGGACAGGAAAGGTCATAAGACTCTTATCTCCAATAAACCACCAGAAAACCAGAAGTGGTGTTGTGGCTTAAATGATAGAGCACTAGCCTTGAGCTGAAGAACTGAGGGACAGTGGCCAGGTCCAGAGTTCAAGCACCACGACCAACCCCCCCCCCCCCCCCCCCCCCCCGCCAAAAAAAAAATTCCTTGGAGAAAGAAGGGTGGTCACCAAAGGTGAGAGGCTGAGGGGTTCAGTTTGGAAAGACAGAACATTCTGGAAAGTTCTAGAGAGGAATGGCAGTAATGGCTGTCTGACATTGTGTGACAGTCTACTTCAAAAGGATTATGGTGGGCTGGGAAGGTGGCTCAGTGGTAGAGTGCTTGCCTTGCATGCCTGAGGCCCTGAGTTCGATTCCTCAGCACCACATAAGCAAAAAGAAAAAAGCCGGAAGTGGCGCTGTAGCTCAAATGGTAGAGCGCTAGCCTTGAGCTGAAGAGCTGAGGGACAGCGCCCAGGGCCCAGAGTTCAGGCCCCACAACTGGACCCAAAAAAAAAAAAAAAGGATTATGGTGGCAATGTCATGTAGGGGTTGTGTATGTTTCACTACAATTAAAAAACTAAGGGGCTGGGAAGGTGGCTCAGTGGTAGAGCACTTGCCTTGCATGCATGAGGCCCTGGGTTCCATTCCTCAGCACCACATAAGCAAAAAGAAAAAAGCCGGAAGTGGCGCTGTGGCTCAAGTGGTAGAGTGCTAGCCTTGAGCTGAAGAGCTGAGGGACAGCGCCCAGGCCCAGAGTTCAGGCCCCGCTACCGGACCCAAAAAAAAAAAAAAAAAAACTAAAAGCAAAATGATTTGACGTCATAAAAATCCGGGGATTTTCAGGCCCACAGTGCTCCTTAATGTTGAAAAGGTTTGAGAATAGAAAAGACCCTGTCAGGTCTCCTGAAGGGAATAGAGGCCATGTGGCCTTTACTGGGGTCCTGAAAGCAGGTGTTCACTCTTGGGGTCTTCTCAGAGCAGAGTGAAGGGGTAGGCCAGTGCAGTGAACAAGGTCACCCAGGTGGCACTCAAGCGCAGCTCCCAAAGTAAGGTCAGTTCCTCAACCATGATGGCCCTGGTATCACCATCCCCAACCCCTCCAGGTTTACCTGAACAAGCCCTCCCCCCAGGGTGGCCTGCACAGCTAGGGTCCCTTGTGTGGGTGCTCACGAGGTACCTGAGGTGACTCTTCTTCCAGGAGACGGTGTGGAATATCGTGGACACCACGAAGAGGCCACAAAGGCCAAGGCCATAGATCCAGGCAGAAATGGTCTCCCAGTCATCATCTGACAGGAAGTAGAGGTTGGAGCTGCCCAGGATGCTGGGAATAATCCAGAACTGGAGGGAAAAGGACAGCGCTGCAGGTCCAGTCTTTTGTGCAAAATGGGGGGGGGGGGGGGGGAAGGAAACAGAGCCCCTTGTGTCCCTCATGCTCAGCTCTCTCTTTTGTTTCTATAAACCATATCTCCAACATTTAGTCAACCTAGCAGCCACTGGAACATGGTGATGACTGGGCATTTGTTTCATTTTACTGGATTCCTTTTATTTTTTCATGTTTAATGTAACTAAAGCATAAAAGCTTAAATGTTGTAAATGTGGTAGTACTATATAATGTTTTGGTGCATGTGTTCATTGGATATTGCTTACATTAGGCTTAAATAGATGAATCTCCTCCAATTCATGCTAGAAACTTCCAAAATCCTTCCTTCTAGATTTTATAAAGAACAAACTCATTGTGAATTCAAATTGAAATTTCAAGCCAGGCACTAGTGGCAGAGATCCAGAGGATCAACGTTCAAAGCCAGTCCAGACAGGAAAGTCTAATAGACTCCATCTCAAATTAACCAGCAAAAAAAAGAGGTGGCTCAAGAGGTGGTTCAAGTGGTAGAGCACCAACCATGCATGTGCAAGTCTGAAATCCCAAGTTCAAATCCTGGTACCATCAAAAGCTCATTTAAATTTTCCCTGGCATGGGTAACATCTCTGTGAATGTTTCATTGGAATCCTTGACTGGCACCCCAGACCCAGTCACCATGCTGAGCCCCCACACAGAGGAACCTTATTTGCCATGTGCTATGTACCCATCACTGATGTTCCTGAAGCAAGAGCTCCACCCACAACAGCACTGGTATCTAGGTGTCACTCAACTTGTGAGTCTAAAGCGTAGCTTATCCCTGGAGGGAAGTGCCTCAAATCCTGTGCCTTGGACTGTGAATGTGGCTTAGTGGTAGAGTGCCTACCTAGCATGCATGAAGCCCTAAGTTTGATTCCTTGGTACCACATACACAGAAAAGGCCCGATGAGGTGCTGTGGCTCAAGAGTGCTAGCCCTGAGCAAAAAAAAAGCTCAGAGACAGTGCCAGACTCTGAGTTCAAGCCCAGGATTGGCACCAAAAAAAAAAAAAAAAATCCTGTGCCTTTACAGCTATGTGATTCAGCCCACCTTTGCCTTTCCATTTTGTTCTTTCCATTTTCTCTTGTGAGCCAATATGCTGCATGATTCAGTGACTGAAAAACAATCCTTCTAGCTTGACATACTCAGGGTTGGGGGCGGGAGGGTACCAGCTTAGGGACCCCTGCATCTGGGCAGCTGGGGATGTACTTGGGGGATGCATTTCAACAAGGGCCCTGAAGGATGGAGAGTGTCTTAGAGGCAAGGGTGGGGCAGAGAGGCCAAATGTTCCAGGCAGCGGAAGAGACTAAGCAGAGACACTGAGTCCTGCCTGCCTTTATGAAGACGTGAATGGTTGAAGGAAGAGCCTGGGATATGTGTGTGGCAGGTGAATGGGACCTGCAGGGGAATGTGCCACAGTGACTGGTCAATAGCACGGGTATGAGGGAGTGGCTGCAGGATTTTAGAGCCAAGGAGAGGCCTTGTATCCTTGTGACCTTCCCTCCCTCCTTGTGGCCTTCCCTCTACATCCACTTACCCACTCGTGGGGATCATGAGACATCTGTGTGTGTGAAGAGGCTGCCTTCCCCTCCCCCACCCAGACGTCCCACCTTAGCCCCCACCCCCAGACCCCACTCACAGCATGGGTGGCACAATTGGCTGCATGCTCATATTCTGTGGGTTGGTACCTCTTGTGGGGTGGGACTCGGTGGTTCATGAACCTGGAATGACAGGCAGAATTCCAGAAAGACTGGCTGGGAAACCATCTGAGAGAATTGCTTGGTTCCTCTGTCTCGCTCCTTCCTGTCCCTGTCTTCATTATTATTCTTGGTGGTACTAGGTTTGAACTGAGGGCCTTGCACTTGCTTAGGCAGGCGCCTTACCACTTGAGTCACTCCCCCAGTCCCTTTCTTTTTTTGGGGGGGGTCCGGTCATGGGGCCTGAACTCTGGGCCTGGGTGCTGTCCCTCAGCTCTTCAGCTCAAGGCTAGCAGTCTACCACTTGAGCCACAGCGCCACTTCCAGCTTTTTTCTTTTTGCTTATGTGGTGCTCTACCACTGAGCCACCTTCCCAGTCCCCCCTCCCCAGTCCCTTTCTTAGCTATGGTTATTTGGTTATTTATATCCAGATGATATGCCCATGCTACCACATCCAGCCATTGTTCCAGCATGCAACACCATAGCCAGTCACTCCCCACTTTATACCTGGGCTGACCTTGCACTAAGATCCTCCTATTTCTGTCTCCCAATTAGCCTGGACTGTAGGCTGAACCAAACATACCAGTTTTGCTTTGTATTTGGTGTTTTGTTGCTGTTGTTATTTGAGACAGTCATGCTATTGTAGCCCAGGCTGGCCTCAAACTTGCAATCTTCCTGTTTAGCCTCTTGAATGCCAGGATTACAGGTGTGTACTACCATGCCTGACTATTCTCATTTGCATACAGTTTGGCTCCCCAGGGATAGAGCTTGGTGAATTTTTACATACACACACTCACATTATACTACCCAGGATGACATGCATTATTTCTTGCCACCCCCAGAAAATGCCCTTTTGCCTAACCCCAGTGAGTACTGTCCCAATGAAAAAACTCTGTAACACTGTTAGTGTGGATTACTTCTTCCTGGTCTTGAACTTGGTACCAATGGATTCACACAGAACCCAATCTTTTGTTTCTGAGTTCTTTTACACCTGGGGATTCTTCTGAGATTCATCCGTATTATTTGACATGGTGATTGGTTGTTTCCATGGCTGTGTAGTATGTTATTGGGTGGATGAAGTACACATGGTTTACTCAGTCTACCACTGAGTAAATGACCCAGGGTATGGTAATTCAGGGTAACTCTGATGGTGAAGACTCGGGTGTAAATCTCTTGAACATGTGACGGTTGATCGTGACGATCAACTTGACTATTCTGAGAAGCCCTTAGGAGATTAGCATAGCACGCTTCTGGATGTGTCTGTGAGCATTTTCCAGGAAGGATTCGCCGAGGGGGGGAAATCTTCCTTGAATGTGTACAGCTCCACTAGGAGCCTAGACGGCCTAGTACACAGACAGTACGATCTCATCCCACTTCCTCTCTTCCTGGCCCCCCTCCTCTCTCCTTCCTGGCAGCCATGAGGGGAGCTGCTCTGCTCTAACCACCACGCCCCACCATGACACGGGCTGAAACCCAGGAGCCACAGTACATCCCCTTGGCATCGTTTCGCGCGTGCGCTGTCATTTCTGCGGCATTCAGGTCAATGTGCAGAATCAGGCAGTTTTACCTTTAAAATAAACATTCTCAGAGGTCTTTGGGGTGCCGGGGTTTGAGCTCTTGCTGGGTGGGGGCCAAACCTCGTCCCCAGCCTAACGATCTTGGCGTTCGGGTGCGGAATCCTCACGGCCCCCGGGCCGGCTGGTCCCCAACGGGGCCCCACACGGAGCCCCCCTGGGTTTGCGGCTGGGAGCTGGGGAGGAAGCGACATAGGCCGGCGGCCGGCCGGGCTCCCAAGCGGGGCCCCGCCAAGACGTCCCTGTCCCTGCTCGGCCCGGCCCAGCCCGAGACAAGGCCCGGGCCTGCGGGGCGGGAGCCGAGGCAAAGACCCGCACACCGCTGGGCGGGAACCACGGGCAACGCAGGCGAAGCCACTTCCGGCTGCAGCACCCACTTCCGGGGCCCACCAACCCACAGAAGCCACCGGTCATTCACTTCCGGGGCCCTCACAGGTGTAGAAGCCACGGCAGCATTCACTTCCGGGGGAGGGGGAAGGGTGTCACACAGCAGCAGAGGCCCAGGACTTGGTTCACTTCCCAGCAAGCTTCTGGTGCATGGCTCCCTGGGGTTTTGCCAGCATTGTCCACCAGGGGAAGACAAACGCCACTCAAACCGGCCACACACACACACACACACACACACACACACACACACACACACACGCACACAGCGCCAAACACCACCACCACCACCACCACCACCACCCCCCAAAGCAAGAAATGAGTGTGATTTAGCACAAAGGGCTCCCTGAGCATGGCTCACTGAGCATGCCTTCTGTATGTTGGCTCAGTACAGATCATGGGGCATTCACTAAGCACCTCGCTATGCTGAATCCATGTGATCATCCTCCCTGGAGCATTCATTGAGTGCTTTCTGATCTGGTGCCATGCTGGCATCCTTCGTGGAGCATACATGGGGCGCCTTCTATATGATGGCTTTATGTAAAGGATGATTTGTGGAGAATTTATCAAGCACTTTCTGTATCCTGGATCAATTCTCAGTCCTCAGGGCATTCATGGAGCACCTTCATATGCTGGCTTTGTGTATGACACTTGGGCAAGAGCACAAGCTGGAGAGGGTGGGCCAAGCACTGAGTCTGTGGTTTTCCCCTTGGCTACCTGGGGTCTGGTTTTACCTATACTGGTCCTCTTGGCACCTGGATAAACCCAGGAATCCATGTAAGTCCCTTGTTCCAGCCATGTGCTCTGGAATGTGCTCCCTGCCTGCATCTACCAGGATTGCATGGCCATGTGACTCTATGGTCATATGACTCCAAGATCTGGCAGATGCTGAGCTCATCAGTCAACACACACACACACACACACACACACACACACACACACACACACACACGCCCCAGTCTGCAAAGTCCCATAGCTACTGGGTTACACCAGTGGGGACAGAGTAAAAAGTTTTTCCCAGTATTTTGGATGCCGCGGCTGGAGAATCTTGAGTTCAAGGCCAGCCTGAGCTATAAAGAGAGACCCTCTCTCAAAAATATAGAAGACTTCTGGATGCCAGTAGCTCATACCTGTAATCCTAGCTACCTACTCAGGAGGCTGAGATCTGAGGATCGTGGTTCAAACCCAACCTAGGCAGGAAAGTCATTTCTAATAAACCATCCCAAAATCGGAAGTGATGCTGTGGCTCAAGTGGTAGAGCTCTACCCTTGAGCTGAAGAGCTAAGAGACAGCACCCAGACCACAAAGCCCTATGACCCACAAAAAAAAAAAAAGAAAATAGAAGACTTAAGAAGAATCAGAGAAGAAGGAAGGAAGGAAGGAAGGGAGAGAGGGAGGGAGGGAGGGAGAGAACCAACATGCACACCTGTAATGAGAGGTACTCCAGAAGTAGAGATAAGGGAATCAAGGGCCAAAGCAAGTTCCAAGGTAAAAGTGTGAGACTCTATTGAAAGGCAAAGTAAAACAAAAAAGGAGCTAGGGCATGACTCAAGTAGTACAATGCCTGTCTAGCAAGTATGAGAGCCTGAGTTCAACCCACAATCATAAAAAAGGAAAAGAGAAAGGAAAGAAAAGGAAGGGAGGTAGGGAGAGAGAAAGGGAGAAACAAAAAGAAGGGAGGGTGGGAGGGAAAGAAGAAAGAAAAAGACAGAAGGAAGAAAGGAGGGAGGGAGGGAAGGAGGGAGGAAGGGAGGGAAGGAAGGAAGGAAGGAAGGAAGGAAGGAAGGAAGGAAGGAAGGAAGGAAGGAAGGAAGGAAGGAAGGAAAAGGAAAATTGGTGCCAGTACTGATGGCCCATGCCTGTAATTCTAGCTACTCAGGAGGCTAAGATCTGAGGATCAATGTCTGAAGCCAGCCTAGGCAGACAAATCTGAGAGACTCTTATCTACAATTAAGCGACACAAAACTAGAAGTGAAGGTGTGACTCAAGTGGTAGAGTGCCATCCTTGAATGAAAAAGCTAAGGGAGAGTACAAAGTTCTGAAGTCAAGCCCCCAGTACTGGCACCAAAAAGAAAAAAGAAAAAGGAAAGAAAAATGAGATTTTAGCCAAGAGGAATTAAGGGGTCACCCCCTGGAGACAGACACACCCCTGGAAGTAAAGATTCCTAATGGTCAAGATGCAAGTAACATGTGTCCAAACCTAGAAGCACCCAGGGTTGTCAGCAATCTCCAGAAGGCCGGAGAGCGCCCTTAGAGCCCCTAAAACAGAGGTCCTGGACCTCTGGCCTGGTGCTGAGCTCATCCATCAAGGATGCTGGTCCACAATGACCCATACATGCATGTGCACATGTGCGTACACACACACACACACACACACACACACACAGAGTGCAAGCACACCAATAGTGTGCCAAAATCCTCAGGGAAGCCATGACAATTTATGTCACACAAGTAGGCAACCCCAAGTCCAGCTCCAAAGAGGCCTCCTTTACCTGTCCCCAAGCAAGGCCCTGTGACCCTTTCTTCCTCTGTACCTTTAACAAACATCCCTCTAGGTACCAGGGTGATGTCACAGTTGCTATGGCAATCCAGGGGGCAGGCAGAATGGTTATTTATTTATTTATTTCTGGCCTCAACAAAACTCTCCTTGTCTCTGGCTGCTGCTGTGACTATTGAAGGCAGGAGAGGGTGGAGGGAGAAAAGAAAGCCAGGAGATGGGTGACCCAGGGAGCCAGGCAGACACCCAAGAAATAGTTCCCACCACCCTAAAACCCCAGAATTTTCCCTTTAACCCCTTGTGTCCTCTTTCTGTCCCTTATAAGCCTCTGTACGACATTAAGAAAGTAGATTCTTTTTTTTAAAAAATGTTTTAATTTGCATACTGGATTTCTTTCCTTTTTACTATGCAAGTTTCTTTTTTATTTGTGTATATTCGCCATCCCAAAGTCACCAAATTGTTGATATTTCCATCCACGCATATAATGTACTTGTGTGACATTTGTATTGCCCTTTCCTATACACGCATTTCTCCCCTTTTTAAAACTATAATCAGAGATAGTCTCATTC